CACGTTTTCTCTCTCAAATAAAATTAAATCTTTTAAAAAATAAATTAAATAAATTCCATGACACATAGTAGGCTTTCAATATATGTCCCATGAATATTATACACACATGAACTCCATGAAAGGGGCACCTTGCTGTTTGGTACATTGCTGTATCCTCAGAGCGTAAAACAATGCCTGCTGCATAACAGTCATTCAACAGATATTTGTGGAATCTCTGAGTGAATACAAATAAAAATGTACACACCAAATGTACATCATAGACACAAATTCTAGAGATCGACTTTCCAGAAGGCTCTGAACCCATGGAATTTTTCTGCAAAGCAAGCCCAAGGAGACATCACTTCTCCTTCCCCTCAATGGCCAGATACCAGCCGAGCAACGTCAACTGCCTCCTGGGCCTCCCGGATGACTCACTGGAGAGCTTTCTTGGGGAGGAGTGGGAGGAGATGATGGCTGACAAAAATAACCACAAACACTTGAAGCATCATCAAGCCTCTGTCTGTGGGGTGAACAACAGGGGCGGATCTCAAGGTTTCTTCCAGGCAGGGCAAGGCAGTACCCATCCTTCCAGCCCAAGTGGCTGTTAAACACTCCCAAGGTCAGAGAGTCAGACAAACCTAGGGTCCATGAAATGAAACAGCCCCTGCTCCTAAGCAGTTAGCCACTGGTGTTTTATGTGCACGTTCTTTGTAAACTGTGAAGGAAACACATGTGAGCAGCGACTATGAAACATCATTAAGTTGATCATTCCCTCTGTGTCTTTCTACATTTTTACAAAGGGCTTTCCCATACGTTATCTCATTTGAGATCACACCAACCAGGAGAGAAGGGCAATTTTACAGATGAAGAGAAAGACTCAGAGAGAATCCATGACTTACAGAGAGCATAATTCTCAAAGTGGTCCAAAGACCAGCAGCATCAGCATCACCTGGGAACTTGTTAGACAGGCAGGTACCAAAGCCCAGAGAAGTTAAACCACCTACTGGAGATCACACAGCTGGTAAGTGGTTGAGCAGGAAGCTACAACCAGGCCAGCTCAAGCCCTGGAGCTCTCACCACCCATACCACTATGGCAGGTTAAGAAGGAAGGCTGGGACAGGCCCCTGTGACAAGTCACATGGGTCTCTCTCCTAAGGCCCAGGCTGCTGGGAAGAATCCCAGGTTGGGGGTTAAGAGCCTAGGATCCGGGGCACCTGGGTGGCTCAGATGGTTGAGCATCTGCCTTTGGCTCAGGTCATGATCTCTAGGTCCTGGGATCGAGCCCAGCGCCGGGCTCCCGGCTCGGCGGGGAGTCTGCTTCTCCCTCTCCCTCTGTCTCTACCCCCTGCTCATGCTCTTCCTCTCTCTGTATCTCTGTCTCAAATAAGATATTTAAAAAAAAAAAAAAAAAAAAAAAAAAGAGCCTCGGATCTGCTAGTCTCCAACTGGCTGGGGAGCTTCCAGCACAGTCATCCCATTGCACTTGGCCTCTGACAGCTCTAAGAGTCAAGACAGATTATGGATGGGGAAGTGCTTTGGAAAATCATAACATACATCAGAAAGAAGTGAAGTGCTGTTTGGATTTTCAAGACTGGTGCATAGATCATGCCTGTTGTCTCCCGGCACCTCAGAACTTGGGAATGGCTCCAGGCTGGTGGCTCACAGAGGGCCTGGGCTGGTGGAGGTCTTGCTTTCTGCTGTGTCTCTTCAAACACCCACAGGTGCCCCACAGAGAGGGCAGGGAGTTGCAGCCCAGTGCTGGCCCCTTGTGGGGACTGTCCTCTATTGCCTGGCGGTGTTACGTGGGTTATGTGGGTTATCCATGAGAAAGAGAAGAGCACAATGAAAGAGCACAGGCAGAACAGTGGTCTCCCAAAGACGTCCACATCCTGTTCTCCAGAACTATTGAATATGTTATCTGACAGGACAAAGAGACACTGCAGATGGGATTAAGTTAAGGATCTTGAGATGGGAAGATTATCCTGGAATATGTGGGTGGGCCCGATGTAATCACAAGGGTCCTTATAAGAGGGAAGCAGGAAGGTCAGAGAGAGGAGATGTGACAACAGAAAGACAGATCCAAGTGATGTAGTTGTCGGAAGAGGGGCGTGAGCCAAGGAATGTGGGCAGCCTCTAGAAGCTGAGAAAGGACACAGATGAGTCTCCCGAAGGAACGCAACTCTGCCAACACCTTGATTTTGCCCAGTAAGACCCATGTCAGACGTCTGACCTCCAGAACTGGAACTTAAAAAAATTATGTTCTTTTAGGCCACCAAGTTTGTGGTGATTTGTTATAGCAGCAAGAGGAAATGAATACGACAACCCCATAGAAAATGGACAAAACACATGAACAGGCATTTAAGAGAAAAGGAAATGCATGGGCTGGCAAACCAATGAAGAGATAGTCAACATGTCTTAGCTCGGGCTGCCATAACAAATTGCCATGGGTTGGGTGGCTCAGAATAGACATCCCCATCCCAAAAGGGGGAAATAGGAAAAAGGGATGGGGTGACAGGTCCTAAGCAAGTCCAAAACCTAGCCTATGGTACTTTGTCATGGCAGCCTAAGCTGATTAGGACACCAGTTATTGAGGAGATGCAAATTAAGGCCCCAGCAAGATTCTATTTTAATTGGCGAAGTAATTGGGGAAAAAATGAATACGCCTGGGGCGCCTGGGTGGCTCAGTTGGTTAAGCGACTGCCTTCGGCTCAGGTCATGATCCTGGAGTCCCGGGATCGAGTCCCGCATCCGGCTCCCTGCTCGGCGAGGAGTCTGCTTCTCCCTCTGACCCTCCTCCCTCTCATGCTCTCTGTCTCTCACTCTCTCTCTCTCAAATAAATAAATAAAATCTTTAAAAAAAAAAAAATGAATACGCCTATCAATAACCAGCGTGGGAAAGAAGAAGATACAGATCAGGGGAGGGATCTCTCATATGATGCTGGGGACGGGGCAACACTTTGGTGGGAAACAATCCAGCTTTAATCCTAAAGCTAAACAGTTCCACTCACAGAGCTATACCAGGTGTATGACAAGAACACACAAGACCGTTCATAAAAGCACTCTCCACCATATCAAAAGGCTGGAAACAACTTGAAGAGCCATCAATGGGAGAGTGGAGAAACAAACCGAGGGATGTTCATAAATGGACTACAGTACACCATCAAAACGAACGCAGTATAGCGATGGGCTGCAACAGGGAAGACGCTTAGTAATGTAATATTAAGTGAAAATAGTAGCTCTGAAAAAAATTATAGGGCAACGTACCGTTTGATAAAATTAAAGACAATGCAAATGAAAAATAAATAGCCCTTTAGGAACACATATAAATGCAGTACAACTCCCTACAGGATGTGGAAATAGAAGGAATGGGCAAAACAAGGTTGGGCATGATTTGAAAAGTTAGAATCTGGACAACAGAGACATTTGAGTTCACTATACTCGTCTCCCTCGTTTTGTGTATGTCTGACATGGCCCATTATACAAAGAAAGTTTAAAATAATACAAAGAGGAAAGCAGGGAATGATGAACACGGGAATCAGGAGTTGGGACAAAGGGCTGGAAGAGAACCCTACGATGAAATGGTTGGCGTGGCTTTGTTCTGTTTTGGGTTCCCGGACACTGATTACACAACGAAACAGCTAGATTAAAGGGAACCGTGCACGGAGCAATGGAGAAATAATTAAAGAAGTAGCGGGGGAAAAGCATGAAGTCAGCCTTGTACACAGTTCCTAGCGGCACCTGGTGGATGCGTCCCTCTGGTGTCCTGTTTGCACGGAGGTACTCGGAACTCACGGAGACCTGGCCCCTTGCCCCGCCACGGGCTCCCCTCCTGATCAGGGGCCATTTCTCTCGTCTGCATTCCTGACAGGCCGAGACTATCCTTTCTGGAAAAGGCCTGGGCAAGGTGTCCCAGGGCTTCGAGGCTCCTGGGAAGAGCCAGTGGAATGTTTGGGATCTCACAGAGGTGGTCGGCTTGCACCAGCAGACTTTCAGACTAACATGTAAGGGTTCACGTTCGTCCCCGGCCAGTGTCATCATCAGGGACCCTGACGCATTTACCTGGTCGCCGAAAGAAGGCATCAGGTGTCGGGGGAGCTGCTGAGAGAGAAGCAGGCTAGCAAGGACGGGGGTCTTCCTCCGAAAGAAAACGAACGCAGACGCAGGGCCCCCTTCGGCGCATGCGTGTCCCCGCGTGCGCGTGCGTGCGTGGGTGCGTGCGTGGGTGCGTGCGTGGGTGCGTGCGTGGGTGCGTGCGTGCTTCCAGGGTTCCCGCAGGGCCAGTTCTTTTAGCGACGCCCTGAATTCCTCAGTCAAGAAGTGGTTCCGTCTGTTTTTGCAGCCTTAATGAGACCTCGGGAGAGAAAAATTTGCTTCCTTCCTGCCCGTGCCCCAGCTCTTCTCAAAGTGCGGTCCCCAGACACACACACCTGACTGGCAGCGTCCGTATCCCTGGGAACTCATTTAAAATGCCACTGGCCCCGATTTACTGAATCGGAAACTGGGGGGGTGGCGCTCGGGGATCTGTGTTTTAACAAGCCCCCCAGGGCACTCGGATGGCTCCTCAAGGTTGAGGATCACTGGTTAATTTATCCCATCCTTGGCCTCCCAGCGTCATCTCCTTCCCCAACAATATTCCACAGGTCATCGCTTTCAGGACCTACTGTCACCTAATTTGCCCTAAGAAACCCCAACACCGGTCACTCTAATCCCTCCCTTCTTGGCTCTGGCGTTGAGCTGCCAGGAGATGCTGGAGCAAACCTCATGCAAACAGGATGGTATTCCAGCTCCCGGCTCCCAGGCTGCCGACCCGTCCATCCAGCCCCATGACCCTGCTTCCATCTGTCCCAGACAGCCCCCAGACCCATTCCTGTCAGCTGCGGTCCCACCGCTGGTGCCCTGCCTTCTCCACTGGCATTTTAGCAGGAAGTTTCTACCTCATTGAAAAAGAAAAAAAGAAGACCCATTCTGGGTCGCCTCCCACCCATCTTACCAGAGGCCTCAGCCCCCTCCCCTCCTGTCCCTGCTCCTACCTGAGTCCTTTCCGCAAATTCAAAGACAAACAGCAACTACATGGCAACATTTTCAAGCAGAAGTGTTTAAAATATACATCAAGCGTCTATATTCTCTAAAGCAGTATAGACTTGGTTTTGAATTCCAGATCTTTAGTTACCGTCAGGGAGGCACCGGCCAAATTCTTATTTTTTCTAAACTTCAGCTTCTCTTTAAAAAGGGTTATCATAACACTTTCACATGTTTTTTTTAAAAATTGATAAATGTAATCAATGTAAAACCTATCATGGCAATAAGAGATTGATGTATTGAATAAAAGTATTTACTGTTCGCGGCGCCTGGGTGGCACAGTCATCGCTAAGCGTCTGCCTTCGGCTCAGGTCATGATCCCAGATTCCTGGGATCCAGCCCCACATCGGGTTCCCTGCTTGGCAGGAAGCCTGCTTCTCCCACTCCCGCTCCCCCTGCTTGTGTTCTCTCTCTCGCTGTGTCTCTCTGTCAAATAAATAAATAAAATAAAGTATTTACTATTCCATCCATGTATTAGATATTTTGATTTCAACATTTATATAATATGAATGATTTTCAAGTTCCATGGGCATCTTATACTTCAAGTTCTTACAACATGAGCAGAAACTGAGATGAATGTTCAAAGGGAAATCATGATGTGAATTCCTTAGTTCCAGGTTTGAAGATGAGAAAAGGACAGTGCTTCCCTTGTTACAAAAATTACTTATTTATGGGGCACCTGGGTGGCTCAGTCACTTGTGTCCAACTCTTGATTTCCGCTCAGGTCATGATCTCAGGGTCATCAGATCCAGCCCCAAGTTAGGCTCCAGGCTGGGCATGGAGCCTGCTTGAGACTCTCTCTCTCTGCCCCTCCCCAACTTCACCCCCCCCCCACACACACACCTGCCCCCATGCGCATGCGCGCACTCTCTCCCTCTCTAAAAATACATACATACATAAAAATAAAAAAACAAAAAGTACTTGCTTTATTTTTTTAAGATTTTATTTATTTGTCAGAGAGAGAGAGCACAATCAGGGGGAGTAGCCAGCAGAGGGAGAAGGAGGCTCCCCGCCGAGTAAGGAGCCTGACTCAGGACTCGATCCCAAGACCCTGGGATCATGATCCAAGCCGAAAGCAGATGCCTAACAGACTGAGCCACCCAGGCGTCCCCAAAAAGTAGTTGCATAGGAGAGAATGACCGAAAAGATAAATTCTATGATCTTCTCTTAATAAGGTGATCCATCTCCCTTTAAAAAAAACAACAAAACCAGCAGTCCCATTCACAAGTTTCTTGAAAGAACAAGCTCCTCAATTCCCTGCAAACTGATTTCCTGAGGCTCATCAGTAGCTTCCGTGTCAACAAATCCCACATGCATTTTAGTGCTCTTTGTGGTTCATTCAATCATTTTATTGAGCGCCTGCCATGTACAGACTTCCTGACGCTAGGCTAACACATTGGAGGTGGCCATGTGTACCTTTTTTTCATTCAACAAGTATTTTCTGAGCTCCTCAATATGCCAGGCACTGTGTTCAGTAGGCACTGGTGGACAACCTGCCCTTCGGGGGCTTACAGGTCATTACAGCGATGTCTGGTACAGGCAGTGGGACTTGAAGAAGATGGACACCTAACTTTAGCTGGTGGGAGGCAAGAGAAACTCAGAAGCCATCCCTGAGGAAGTGACATCCAAATTTAGTCTAAAGGATAAGACTAATGAGGGGATGAAGAAGGATGCTTCAGGCAGAACGGCACAGGCCAATTAACAGTAGAAACATAGTACAAGATAGGCTATGGTATTCGCAGGGAATCAGAGTCACACAAAGGAGGGTGCGGGAGGCATTCAAACTGGATCTTCAGGGATGACTAGGCATCTGTTAAGGAGGTGAAGACATCCCAGGAAGACAGTGCTGTATGTGCAAAAGTGCAAAGTATATGCCATCTTGGGAGAGGTGTAAGTAATACATGGGATGATGGCTGAAGCACAGAGCATGAGGACAATGTAGCACCTGGGGGACATGAACGCCATGTGTAGTAGTTTGGACTGAAAGTGACAGGAATTCCTGAGGGGGGGGCGGGAGGGTATGAGAGAGAGACAGAGTTAGTTTCCTTTTATAGTGATGGTTCCAACTACCACATGGAAGACACATTAGAAAGAGCAACACTGGCGGTGGGGAGACAAGTTAGAAAGAAGACTATAGTAATCCACCGATTGGGGTGAAAAATGACAGATCCTCAACAAGGCAGTGGTTGTAGGATGTCATAGCTAAACAGCTGGATCAGTGATATAAAGTAATATTAATAACACAGGCTTCCGAGTCAGGCAGACCTAGGTGTGAATCCCGGTCCTGCCCCTCACTATCTGCGAGCAACCTTAACCTGAGATTCCACTGCCTCACCTGTGAAATCAGGACAATAATAAAATGGACCTCACGGTTGTCGAAAGGATAACATAGCATGATATACATAAGGAACACAACCTGAGACCAAGCACACCATGAATGTGCAGAATGAGAGCCACCGTCCTTGGCATCATTAACTGGACATGGTTGACCAGATGCACATCTTGAGAGAGACCAGAGACCACAGTGACTGCAGAGTCTCTGGCTGGCCACAACTAGCCGAAAGCAGAGAGAGGACAAGGCAGGTGGGGAAGGAGGCCTGGAAGAGGATGCGCTCATTTGTTGGGTATGAAGTGCCCACGGTTGGATAAGCTAATCCTCCCGTGGTCTTTTGCACTCTGCATCTTGCTGTGTGTGTCAAGGGGGCAAGACCCTGACCACTTTTGACCTGGGCCACTTCTCAGTATTGTCTTTGTGGCGAGCAACCTTGAGAGATGAGGTGGTGTCTCCCTCTAGGCTTGCTTATTGCTCCCTATATGAGCAGTGGATTCCCAAGCTTGGTGTTCCTCGGTGATGCAAACCCACTGCTGTAGAGCATCCATCTGGGCCCATCATGCTGCCCCCGCGGGACTCAGAGGCAAGGGAGATTGAGGCAAATATGCAGCTGCTCATGCCATGTGCTGTGTGTGCCTGAGTAATAAAGTCTGGTGTTTCTGATCCCAGAGTCTCATGTCTTCTGCCGGCATCAAGGAATCAGTGACAGGTTAATTTATTAGCTTCGAGTTAGAAAGAGAAACTTGGAGTCATCCATGTGTGCGAGGCAGGTAAAGCCATGAGTATAAACAACATCACCTGGGAAGAGGTCAGGGGTGCACTCTGGGTAACACCAACAAGGAAAGGATGAGGGTAAGAAAAGGAGCTCCCAGATGACCTCAAGAAAGAAACTTAGAGGGGAGTAATGCCTTACAAGCCAAGGGAGTAGAGTTTCAAAGTAGGCAACAGGAAGCGATATTGCTTAAAAGTCAAAGTGATGAAGACTGGGGGCTCCGGGGTGGCTCAGTCAGTTAAGCGGGTGACTCTTGATATTGGCTCAGGTCATGATCTTGGGGTCATGGGATCAAGCCCAGCATTGGGCTCTGCACTGGGTAAGGAGCCGGCTTAAGATTCTCTCTCTCGGGGGCACCTGGGTGGCTCAGTTGGTTAAGCGACTGCCTTCGGCTCAGGTCATGATCCTGGAGTCCCGGGATCGAGTCCTGCATCGGGCTCCCTGCTCAGCAGGGAGTCTGCTTTGCCCTCTGACCCTATCCCCTCTCATGTGTTCTCTCTCATTCTCTCTCTCTCAAATAAATAAATAAAATCTTAAAAAAAAAAAAAAAGATTCTCTCTCTCTGGGCGCCTGGGGGGCTCAGTCATTAAGCGTCTGCCTTCGGCTCAGGTCATGGTATCAAGCCCAGCATTGGGCTCTGCACTGGGTAAGGAGCCGGCTTAAGATTCTCTCTCTCTCGGGGCGCCTGGGGGGCTCAGTCGTTAAGCGTCTGCCTTCGGCTCAGGTCATGGTCCCAGGGTCCTGGGATCGAGCCCCACATCGGGCTCCCTGCTTGGCGGGAAGCCTGCCTCTCCCCCCTCCACTCCCCCTGCCTGTGCTCCTCTCTCACTGTCTCTCTCTGTCAAATAAATAAATAATAAAATCTTTAAAAAAAAAAAAAAAAGATTCTCTCTCTCCAGGCGCCTGGCGGCTCAGTTGGTTGGGCATCTGCCTTCAGCTCGGGTCATGATCCCGGAGTCCTGGGATCGAGCACCGAGTGGGGCTCCCTGCTCAGTGGGGAGTCCGCTTCTAGCTCTTCCTCTGCCCCTCCCCGCCACTTGTTCTCATTCTCTCTCTCAAATAAAGAAATGGAATCTTAAAAAAAAAAAATCTCTCTCTCCCTCTGCCCCTCCCCCCACTGCGCACGCTCTCTCTAAAAAAAAAAAAAAGTGGCCACTGAACTTAGCAACTAGGTCACTAGCAGAGACATTTCAATGACATAGTGTGGCCAGAGTGGACGAGGAGTAAATGGAGGTAAACATCTTAAATAAATAGTTTCTGAAAAGCTTAGCTGAAAAGGAAAGAGAGAGGTGGGGCACTGGTGACCGGAGGGGACAGAGGCAAATGAAAATTTTCTTTGTAAACAGACGGGAGAGATTTGAGCAGATTATACACTAAAGAGAACAAGCCACGAAGGAGGGAAAAGTTGAGTAAAAAATTAAGAGCAAGGGGCGCCTGGGTGGCTCAGTTGGTTAAGCATCTGCCTTCGGCTCAGGTCATGATCCTGGGGTCCTGGGATGGAGCCCCGCGTCACATCAGCTCCCTGCTCAGCAAGGAGTCTGCTTCTCCCTCCCCCTGCTCATGCTGTCTCTCTCGCTCTCTCTCTCAAATAAATAAAGTCTTAAAAAAAAATTTTTTTTTAAATTAAGAGCAAGGAGAAGAAAGATGGAGCCAGGTGTTGGAAGAAGAGGAAGAGGATGACTTTCAGACCCGAGGCGAGGGACTGGCCAGGACCCTCCTCCACTGACATGGCATTTGCCCCAACCACACACACAAGCAGGCCAGCCTGCCAGCTCAGATTGTGATCTGCCTCCAGGTGAGTGGACCCTCCAGGGTCCCTAAGGAGGGGCCTGGGCAGCAAGTGTCCCTGGTGCCCCCCTTACCTGGCAGTCCTGCAGGTATCCATGTGTTTCCCAGCCTGGGCTCTTTGGAGATGCCCACAGCTGTATTCTACACACAAAGGGTCCAGGCAAGTTGAGAAGGTGTTGCTCCCAGGCCTGTGAAGCCAGCTTCCAGGAAGAATGAGTGCTCTCTGCCGGGAGGATGGGATTTTGGGAGCCGGACGTCCACAGGAAAGAGAAGCCTGCTGTTGGAGATACAAGGCCTCATCCTCCAGGTCCTCGGGGTTGGCGGCACAAACACCTATGGGAAGACCCAGGGATGCTCACAGAGGGAAAGGAACCGTCCTCTGCAGCATACCTGCACTCTGTTTGGAGTTTCTGCACCCCCTCAACTTATTCTCCCAATTCTTGACATAGCGTTCTCACCTCAACCGGACAGAGGAAGGAGCTGAGGGCTTGCCTGATGCCCGGGGCGCAGTGTGTGCTGGGCTCCAGCTCTCTATGACTTCTGTCCCTGTGGCTCACCCTGCCCTCTCCACGAAAGCAGCAGCAAGTGCCTGGGTCAGGGGCAAGCACACACCACTGCTAGTCCTCCTGCAGCCCGACAGATGACACCAGGACAGCCACCACCGCCGCCAGCATGCTCTGTGCCCTGTGCCAGGGAAGGTCCCCCGAATGCCTTAGCCTTCTCTCTTGCAGGGCCCTGGTTGGTGCAAGCAGCATCAGACTTCAGGGGGTCTGATCCCTTATGTGTCAGGCCTGGCAGAGGGAGGGGGCCAGCAGGACTGTGCAGTGGGACCTCCCTGCAGGCACGCCTCTGCTTTTTTTTGCACGGGATGACCACGAAGAACCTTCTGCGGAGGTGTGAGAGTAAGAACAAGAGAAGACAGCAATTCTTGACACCCTGATGGTCCAGACCCTTTAAAAGACTGCTGGAAGCACCAGACGGACTCTCTCCATAAAGGGCACGCACACAACACACAACCTTGCACGTAGTTTCTGGCTTTGAACACCACCAACCACCGCCCTCCCCCTGACCCCCGGGGCAGGCGAGGTGTCAAAGGAGCGTATATCAGAATCAGCCCAGAGGCTGGCTAAAAATGCAGATCCCCGGGCCCCACCGCGGAGCTTCTCATTCAGTGGGTCTGGGGCCAGGCCCAGGAGCCTGCGCTTTTAACCGGCACCTCAGATGACTCGGGCGCCGGGCGCCGATGCGCAGCGGAGCCCACTTTGAGAAACCCGACTCTGGGGCTGAGACCCACCCCCCCAAGCTCCGAAGTTTCCCCATCTCGTCGGGCGCACGGGCCGCCTCCCCTCACCTCCCGCGGGCCTCACCCTCGCGCGCGGGAGCATCTGGGGAACCTGCCAGGGACCCAGAGCGAGGGTCCCCGAGGCCTGCTCGCCCCCGTCGCCAGCGCACCACGGCCCCGGGAGGCGCAGCGCGGCGGCCGGCAGGGGGCGCGGTGCCGGGGACGACGCCGGAGGGGTGCCCGGAGGCCCCAGCCCGGAGCCGAGCGGCGGGAGGGAGAGGGGAGGGGAGCGCAGGGGAGGAGGGGAGGGAGGCGAGAGGCGCGCGGCGGCGCGGAGCCGGGCGCGGGCGCGGGCGCGGGGGCGGGGGCGGGAGCCGGGGGGCGGGGCGGGCCGGGGCGGGGCCGGCGGCCGGCGAGCGCCCGGGGAGCGCGCCCGGGGAGCGCGGAAGGAGGAGCGAGGGGAGCGCGGGCAGCCGCTCGCCCCCGCCCCCGCGCCGCCCGCGCGCAACAGTTCCCCCAAAGTTGCCTCGCGGGAGGCGGGCGCGCCGGGGCGGCCGAGGGGCGGGCAGCGGGCCGGGGGCGCGGCGTCGCGGCCGGGCGCGGGCAGTGCCGGCGGGCGGCGGCGGCGGCATGGGCACCCGGCAGACCAAGGGCAGCCTGGCCGAGAGAGCCAGCCCCGGCGCGGCGCCCGGCCCCCGCCGCGAACGGCCGGACTTCTGGGCGTCGCTGCTGCTGCGCGCCGGGGACAAGGCGGGGCGCGCGGGCGCCGGCGCGGGGCTGCCCCCCTACCACCGGCGCGTCGGCATGGTCCAGGAGCTGCTGCGGATGGTGCGCCAGGGCCGGCGGGAGGAGGCGGGGACGCTGCTGCAGCACCTGCGCCAGGTGAGCGCGGGGAGGGCGCGCGGGGGGGGCGCGCCGGCCCCGGGAGCGCCCCGCCCCTTGCCGAGCAGGCCCGGAGCGCCGAGGGCACCGCCCAGGGCCCCCTCTCGCGGGGATGGAGCTGGTCTGGCAGCAGGTGCCTCGGCGCTCCCGCTGAATTTGAGGCCTCGGGGCGGGGCGGAGGAAGGCTGGCCCAGTGAGGCCCGGCTGCAGGGGACCTGTTGGAATAATGTCCCCGCTTCTCTCTCCTCCACACGCGGAGAGGGAGGCAGGTCCCAGGGATGGGCGGTGGGAGCGGATGCGGGGAGGGATGCCTAGGCTGGGCCAGGGCGCTTTTCTTCCTCTCCATCCACTGGCAGTCACCAAGGGTCTTCAAGGAATGCGCAGTCGTCAGTTTCCCCAGGGGGGAGTCCAAGGGCACAGCCCTGGGACTGGTGAGGTGCCGGTCGCGAGGTCATTTGCCCACCCGGGAGGCATCCTGGATTGCGGTTGAGGCAGGAGGCAGCGTTTATCTCCCCTGGTTTACTTGGACAGGTGCTCAGCCAGGAGTCCCTGCTGAACAGTGAAGAGAAGGGAAGGGGGGAGCTGACTTGGTTTCCTATGTGAGTACCTGGCTGCAGGAACTTCAGAAGGCGGCCAGCACTCTGCCTTCAGCCTGTTCCTGTCCCTGTCCCGTTGGTTAGGGACTGACGTTGCAGATCTGGCCAGTCCCCTTTGCTTTGGGGCTGCCCTGGGCGGATGCTGTCATCCACGTCTCTGGCTTGTTTTCCTCCTTCACTTTCTTTTGAGGGAAGTGAGCCCCCCCTGTTCCATGGATTTTGTTGAGAGAGAGGCAGGAAGGTGCGTCTCCTGCATCACCAAACAAGTTGTCTTGGCCCAGCTTTGGGGGGTGACCATGTCCAGGTCCCATAGTCCTCCTCTGTGTGGAGTCCACCACAGACCCAGGAGGGGGGACCTCAGGTGGCCTTTCTAAAGTTTCTCTGTCTCTAATGAAAGACACTGCAGGAGCGCCTTCCTTGTAGGCGCTTCCAAAATCTAATCAGACGCACATCCCTGCAGGATTTTGTAGCACCCTCCTCACACCTTTTGTATCTGGTGAGCTGTTACCGTGGAGTGTGTTCCCAAGGTGTGCACTGCGCAGGGAGAAGGAAGGGAGAAGGAAGCAGGGGCTTGGGGACTTGGAAGACGTGGGGCTACTGCTCTTGCCTTCTTTTCCATACAGCATCCAGAACAGTGCCTGAGATGCTGCTGGATCCCTAGGTTTCTTCTCTGAATTGAATCATTAAAGAAAGATGACATTATGCATGGTATAACTTCAGCAATGTGTATTTCTCTGTCTTTTGAAAATGGGAAACCAGCGGATGGCCTCTATGGAAACTCTGTTGCTTTCAAACAGAATGATGGATTTTCCAGACCATCCCATTGCGCACACCAGATAGTAAGAAGGTTCTACTGCTCCTCCAGTCCCTCTGAAACTGAGTGTGATTGCACATCCTGAGGCTGAACTTCTCCCTGGTTTTTGGAGAGTAGATAAGTTCCTGTGGCCTCTCGGGGTTCTTGAGACAGGGAGCATTTCCTGGGAAATGTTGGTCTTGTCTGCGGCCTGACACCTTTTGTAGTGACAGGACTAGAAGGGCTGATGGGGGGCAGGATGGGGTTAATCAGACTTGCCCCTTTTCTGTGAAAGCAGCAGGATAACTTGCCTTCCAGGGCCTGTGTCAGGCTCCCTTGACCTCTGGTTTGTGGGTGAGGTCCACGGGTCTCTCCCGAGTCTCCCGAGTCAGCGATGGGCCTGCCCGAGGGGCCTGGAGACCTGTCCTGTTGCCTGGAACATACGAATCAAGGCTTCTCCCAGAAATGGTCATGGACCCTGGGCGGTGTGAGAGGGGAGCCCAGGTGTCCAAATGTCCATGAGACACAGAGGCTGTTTTCTAGGACCCTGAGGCTCTTTAGAGGAATGTTGAGCTGGATCTGTGCAAAGAAGTGGCTCTTTCTCCCAAATTGTGTTTCCTTTCCAGTTGGCTCCTCCAGTGTGGAGGTGGTGATGTTCAGAAAGGGAATGAGCAGCCACTGAGAGGCAGCCCCCCCGCCTCCCAGGTGGGTTCGGGTAGGCCTTGAGCTCTAGAGTTGGAGGAGACTTGGGATCTTCGACCCCTGTGGTTCTCAGCCTCAAGTCCCCGAGCATTTTGAGCCCTGAAGGAGCTAGGGACACTCTTCCCAGACCAATGCACCAACACGTACAATCTTGCAAGAATTCCAGAGTGTTCGCAGACCCCAAGTTCAATATGTGCCCCAGTCTGGTACCACGCCTCCCCCACTGTGTGACTTGCTACGGGCTTGGGATTGGAAACAGGGACCTCAGGACCTTGTGTGGCAGTTTGTGGCGGCTGCTGGTGTCACTGCTTCTGAATGCCCCCCTTTCGCCTGTAAGATCTGGAGGGTAGTTTCCCTGATCGGAGACTCTTGGGTCAGTCCGTGCTCGGCACTTGCTGGAGAGGTATCAGGAGGCTTTAGTTAATGTTAACGATCCTGAGCTGGGGTTCAGGGGTTCAGGCAGAATGCCAGGAAGCTGCCCTGAAGGAGTAGAGCGATCTCTCTTTCTGCAGGAGCAGTGTACTCGTGAGAAGAGCCTGGGGCCAAGGATCAGCTCAGGCAGCTTGCCTTCCAGTCCTTAGTCCGCTTTGACCTTGAACCCCAGCAGATAACCTCCCTGAGTTCTGTTTCCTCATTTCCCAAAGAGTAACTGGAGGACTGAGCAGAGCAAATGCTACAAAGTATGTGAGGTTGAGTTGGCTCGCAAATCAAGATACATTCTCATGGCAATGGAACGAAACAAGAGACTCTGCCCTACTTCGGGGCTGGCCAGGCTACGGGTAGGGTCTGTGGTATCCTCTCTCAGGCCAGGCCCAAAGAATTTTTGGATCTTGTCGACCTGGCCAGGGCTCCGTGTGGGTCAAAAGCTCAGGGCACGTTCAGAAGCAGTCTGGTGTGGGGAACACGTGGGGACAAAAGAAGCCAGCTGTGGATAGAGGAGGCCATTCCTCTCCCCATCCCTGGGCTCCATTCCTGCAGGCCTGACCCTTCCCCAGACCCTTCTTCCTAAGCCTTGGGCTCAGGCCTGCCATCTTTAAGGAGCCCTGGGGAAGAAGTGCCTTCAGGCATGGAGAGAAGGCAAATGCCAGGCTATGGGGGAGATGGGCTGTCCCCTCTTCAGCCCAGCGGCCTCTCTGAGGCCCACAGATTGTAGTAGACTGGGTTGTTGGCCAGCCTCATGAGACACTAGAATAAGGGGTCCGTTTCCCCAGGATACACCAAGCTGAACTGGCCCACTTCCTCATGTTCGCCATGCGTCCCTGCTTTCCCTGAAAGACAATCTGATTAGATCAGTTTATTGCCATTCAGTATGGTGCAGCCCTGCTGGGCAGAGCTGTTCCAGGGTTGGCCTGTCCAGTCCCATCCAATGGTGTGGCTTGGGCCTGGACACCTGGTTCAGTCTACTGGCTTTACTCTATACCTGGGACAATGAGCCACGTCAGCTAATACCAAAAAAAAAAAAAAAAGAACCCCCCCTCCCCCCGCACCGGGGCCTAGGGTGACTTGCTTCCCAGAAGGGCTGAATAGTGGACAAGCACTTAGAGGCTCCCTAGGGACCTGGACACTGGACAGGTGTTTCCCACCTGGAGTCAGAAAGATGAACAGAATGGCCTTGAAGATCTCCTTTTTCCTCTGACACCCCACCTAAGAAAATCTCTTTCAGTGAGCTGCTTGGAAGGCCACCAGGCACCAAACAGGGAGGCCCCCCCCACCCTTGCCCTGATCTGATCCTTCCCTGACCTGGAATGCCTTTCCTTGTTTCCAGTGAATGCTCCTTGCCTTTCTGAGGCCAGCTTCCACGTCAGCCCTTGGCTCTGAGATTCACTCGTCTTTTAGGTCCCACAGCACTGGGGAGCAATTAATCATCTGCATATGGTTTTTCACCTGACATCGATTTTGTTGGTCAGACTAAGTCACGTGCTTCCTGAGCGTGGAGACCCCCGCCACCACCGTTGTCCCTGGCATGGTATTGAACACCCGTAGGCCTGTGACATTCTTTAATTAGTCTGTGCACCATGAAGCTATGCATCAGCCCCCACTGTCACTGTGTGTCCTCAGAAACTCTCAAATCCCCAGCCACAGCTCTACATCTGGGGGCTTATCCACTAGGGGCGTTAGTATGGTCGTGAGATCTGACACGTTTGCCTCCTATGTGGGTGGATGTCTGGGAGCAGTGTCCTCGGGGCCTGGCTGTCCCTGGCAGCCTGCCAGGGGGTGGTGTTCTTGGAGACAGGAGTGGCCCAGTGCCCGGGCCTCCGTGGGCACCTCGGGGATCCCATCCTACAGGTGCAGTCCAGCGCCTCTGCGGAGGTGGTGGGAGGGGAGCCTGGCCTCCCCGTTCCTGATCTGCTGCTTGTGCTGAATCATGTTCCTTTCGTCCGCAAAAGAGAAACCTTCCTTTTTCAAATCCACTGCTCTCTGACTGGGCTGGGCGCAGACATTTCCAGTTTATGAAGATGCAGAAGGAATCCCGTGCCAGGGCCTGCTTTGCTGGTTTACAAGACCGGAGACGCGGCAGCCTCTGTATGGCCCTCCACCACAGCAGGGCTGGGAGCTGGGCAGGAAAGCTCCTGCTTTCTGGAACAAATGTCCACCTCCTCAGAGATAACTAGCCTCTGCTTTGCTCCTTGTCTTCAGGGCTCCCAAAATACCCTGGGGGCCATCCATGGACACCCCACCTTGGTGCACCCCTCTTTGGTGCACGGTGTACCACCCCCCTTCCCCGACGTCAGTTCATTTCCCTTCGGGCTTTCCTGGGGCAGATGCCATAGATCACGTTACTGGGCACAGTGGGGTTTCTAGAAATCCTCATCGAATGGGTTTTAGACTTCTTCTCGGGCACACTCCCCCCAGACTGCTGCTCCTGGAACTCTCTCTCAGGAGCCAGCATGGTCTGGCTCAGACTTCTG